AGGCACAGCCAAGTCCTGTGACTTTTCAAACGGTAACAGAAATTGAGAGTTCCTACATGTGACATCTTCCTATTCTTAAAGGATGGCAACTAATTACTAAAATTTCTAAATACACTAAAAGCCAGCAATATCTGTCTGTGGGCTGAATTTCCTCCAAAGGACTCTGCCACTGCAGACTAACAGTTCAAAATCTCTCAATAAATCTCACCAGGAGAAAAATTCTCCCTTACCAAAACCCTTCAGAGAAGAAAAATAATGAGGATGTGACCAAGATTTGTAAATGAAATAATAAACTTAGATTTTTATGATAGCTCTGTTCATAATAACTCAAAATGCTTAATCTTTTTCAGTCAGTAGTAAGTGTCACAATGTGCCCAGAAGCCATCTCACTAGGAAGTGCCTAAGGTGGATCAATTTCTGGCTGGTACCACAATGGCTTTTCCTGTTGTATGAAAGGCTGATGGAAACAATCAAAAAGGCACGCGTCAAGACCACTTTGAAAGTTGGGATTGTATTAGTTTTTCTTTTGCTTGGTATTGGAGATCCGTCAGGCAAACAGTTCAGTGGTAGCTGGTAAAATAGCCTGAGTTACTCAGGAGTTCTTAGCTCATCACCATTTGTGAGAAAACAAGTGAATCTGAGTTCCCCAGTTTCAGGATCATCTAACATGCCTTTAATCATCTGTTTGGATTAAAAATAGTTCCAATTAAAAGTGAAAATTTATGCAATTTAGGGGATAGTCTATGGCATATTTGTAGACCTGGCCTGATTTGCTCATTGATAAGCAATGACTAGTCTAGTTGTGGAGTTAATACATGAAATTTTTACATATAAAAAAATAATAATAATAATAATGACTATGAAAAGAGTTTCACAAAATCACAGAGTACCAATGACAAACTCCCTTTAACCTTTTCTCTGTCTTGAAAAGTAACGTTGTTAGCAATTTTAGATCTAGAACATTCATAGCAGAAAAATTATATCCATATAGGGAAAATTTGTGTTTTTAAAAGTTTTTTCTGAAAACATGCAAAAAGGAAAATATTCACATAAAATTTTACACAAACTTTTCCAGCCTTAACCAAAGTAATGAAAATGCTCAGCAATAACCATGGGACCATACACACAGAAAAACAAGATACAAAATACTAATAACGTTAGTATACTCACACTGGTCTAGCTACAGCTTATAGCTTGACTTTCGTGAGCAACAGCACAAAACCAGCCAGAAACAAGGCTGAACTCCCAGGGATGCCACCACCTGCTGACTCCACTCTGTGACCTCCACTTAATACCTCGCTATCAGGAATGAGGGTGACCAGTTATTAGTTGTCAGACATTAATTTATCTGTATCTTCAATTCTTCATACAAAGAATGACATTATTTGATCAAGTTAAGACTTTTCCTTCCCATTTAAAAATAAAGTTATAAAGAACACTTGAATTTCACCTCTAAAACTGCTTAACTTTCTGCTGGGAGCCTTTATGAAGTTAAAATAAAAATTCTAATATAATCAATCATGGTAGTTATTTCCTCTGCAGTTCAAAACATTCTCTGAAATAGTTATTAGATCTTAGTGCAGTGCTAGCACCTGTAATCCCAGCTACTTGGAGGCTGAGGCAGGAGGATCACTGGAGCTCAGGAATTTGAGGCCAGCCTGGACAACATACTGAGACCTTGTCTCAAAAATAAATAAAATAGCTATTAGTAAGGGAGTCCCTATACCAAAAGAATTAGTAGTCAATTAATAACTTTATTGGAACACTGACTATGAGCCAGGCACTGTACTGAATGGTTCAGACTTCTCATTAAATCTCAAAAATAACCGTACCAGCGAGGTAACATTATTATCTCCATTCTTCAGATGGGGACACTGGCTTTTTCAAAATCACACAGCTAGGAAGCAGCGGAGTCTCCAACCCAATCCAAATCTTGTCTGACTTCATAATTTACATGTTTAACTCTAATCTGCACTCCCTCTAGCGACTCTGGATTGGTCTCTGAGATTTTTAAAAAGTAAATTTGTACTTCTGAGTGGCAGATTTTAAAAATTTGCTAGGAAATGGACTGGGGATGTAGGCCAGTAGGAAATCATTTATGTGGCATGCACAAGGCCCTGGGTTCAATCCCCAGCACTGTTAAACAATGAGAAAGAAAAAAAGCTAGAAGTAGTGGTACTTTTCAAACACAAACAATTTTTACATAGTCATACATATGTTACTATATTCCTAAATATACACAATGATGAGTCTTACCTAATGGACCTCTCATAAATGCAATTTTCCTTACATATACAATCTTGTTTATTAAAAATTTAACGGGAACAATCTGCTCTTTCCACTCAATTTTGCTGTGAACCTGAAAGTACTCTGAAAAGCAGTCTATTAAAAATAAGTGACGAACTAGAATATCCTAAATATGCACAAGTCCACTTAGTAATGAAATGGCACAAGGTGGTTTTTTTTCAGTTTTAAAAGCTGCATTTGGTATTATAAAACCAACACTAAGCATGTAGTGGGCATTTAATGAACATTTAGTTGATACATATTCTCAAGAAGACTTCATGTTCAACGATGCCATAATATTAGCATTGTTAACACTTTCCAGCACATTCCCAAAAGCCTGCAATATATAGACATAAGTTGGAATAAAATTAAACAAAAATAACTGAACTTGGATGAACAACACAAAGGGAATCAATCTCTCTACACCATGGCTGGCGTAAATAAAATTGCTTTTCCACTTTATCAAACAGAATGTAATCAAAAATAGATTAATATTACAGAATCTTTTCCTAATTCGTTTTCCACATCCTTTCTAAATCCTCTAAAGAAGCTATGAACATATGAACTAAATCTTGTTTCCTACTACTCAACAAGGTTGTTGAAATTCTAAGGGCCTATAAGACTAAGGGACAAATACTGCCTATAATTACCACTTCCCACCTCGATATTTTCCTTTTAACAAAGTCTACGTTTATAAAGGAGATTCTAATGTATACAAAAACGTTATCTGTTCTATATCTGCTGCAGTAAACTATCAAAACTAACTTTAAAATACTGTTCTGTCCACTAACAAAAAGTGTCGAAGGGTAATACTAATTTTTGTTTTACTGTGCTTACAAAATCTCAATATAAAAGTACTACACAAATACAAACAGGAACTCTATGGAACAAGTTAGGGACGTTATTGGAAGCAGGGGTCCTTAATCACACCTGTAATTCACAGAACTTTCTCTCTCGACTTCTTTGAATATGCTTTCAGCAGGCAGAAGTAGCGCTCCGCAGTGCATCCAACACAAACCGTCCCGACCAATCCGTTTTCCGAATTATATTAATACGATGTTCATTTAAACACTGAGCTGCAAGCGTCTCTTTAAGACCCTAGCTGCAGCAGGGAGCGCACGCAGGTTCACAGACTGCCACGGCCGCATCCCGGGCCACATCTGCATCTGGACCGCGCAGAATCACATCCGGCTCCCCCTGCGCAGGTTCCTGCGCTCCCTATCTTCAAGAACTTGACATCTTCTGAGAGGGACCACAAATACCAAGCGCGTCTTAGAGTTATGCCTGCAGGGAAGACAGCTGATCCCACGAAACCCCCAAGCTCCGGGAAAGCCGAAGCGCCCAAACTTTCCCGAACACTTCTCTCCACTTCTTCCAGACCCTGCAAGGCCCGGCGCTCACTCACTGGTTGGTCGGAGGGGCGGTCAGCGGGATGGCCACCTCTTCTTCCTCGTACTCCGGTCCGTCCAGGGAGTCGCCCTCGTCCACGGTCCCCAGGCCGGCGCCCAGCGGGGGCAGCAGCGGCTGCGGCGGCGGCGGCGGCAATGGGGGGAAGGCGCCCGGGCCGAGGGGCTCGGCGGGCGGCGCCCCGGGGACCCTGAGCGGCGCGCCCTCGGCCCCGGGCCCCAAGGCGGCGGCGGCGCCTCCCCCGGGCAGCCCCGGTCCCCCCAGCGGCCCCGCCACGGCACCGGCGGCCGGGCACCCCGAGCCCAGAGCCCCGGCCCCTCCAGCCTCCGCCAGCCCGGAGAAGGCGGCGGCCGCGGCCACAGGCAGGGCCACGGGCATCTTCCCGCGGCACGCGGCCGGGAAAGCCCCGGAGTCCGCCGCGCCGCCGCCCGCTCCGGCCGCCACCGGTCCGCCCTCCTCCGCGCCGGCCTCGGCCGCCATCATGTTGGAGCCCGCCCGCGCTGCCTACCCCTCTCGCCCCGCAGCCCCGGGGGCCACCAGGCCCGGGCTCCGAGCCGCCCCACCCGGGCGCGTCGCCCGCAGCTCCCCGGGCAAAGGAAACAACAACAAAAGGGGAGCGCCCGCTGCCCGCCGCGCCCCCTCTTCGGGCCGCGGCCCCGGCACCGGAGCGCCCGGGGTACGGGAAGCGCAGTGGGCAAAAAAGCCAACGCCGGCACCAACGACAGCCCGAGCCGCGCCGAGCCTCACACACCCACACTCGCGCGCGCGCTCCTGCACAGGAACGGAACAAGTTCCCGGCCGCGCCGAAGAGGAAGGAAAGCCCTGGGGAAGCGGGCGCAGGCGACTGCCGCCCCCCCAGCCGCCGCCACCGCTTCTTCACCAGCCCAGTTCCGGCCGCCCCCACCGCAGCCACCGCCGGTGCCGCCGCTGGGGCCGGGGCCACTGCCGCCGCCTCATTCTCCACCGGGCTGGAGCCGGGACGGGTGGGAGCAGCGGAGGGAGGGGCGGGGCGGCGGGGAAGCCGCTGCGCCGCTCTCT